TATACATATTAAATAACTCATCAAAACCAAAAGCTTCTCTTGACTCTGGAACAGCAAGCAGGGCTCCACCTCAGGATCTAGGGCTGCGTGCAGGCACACAAGGGGTCAATAATCCTATGATGTAGCTTTGGGCTGGACCCTGCATGCTGAGTGAGTGATCAGTAAAATCTTAAAATCAATTCTAAAATGGACAGGGAGCCAAGAGAGGGAAGCAAGGATCAGATTGATGTGATGTTGCCTTTTAAGACCAGTGAGAAGCCGTTGGTTTTAATGAGTTATTTGATGTACTGGGTGAAATGTCATGATTGACAGCTGAGACTGACTCACGATTTAGTCAAGCACATGCATTGGTGGGAGTCTATCTCCCGAATGCTACTGTGAAGACACTGGTACCAAATGCACAAGATGGTAGCGTTCGTATCCAGGATATTTTGGCTTTATTTCTGCTCGGTACGATGAAGTGAAGACACCTTTTCCATCTTTATATACAGTCTATGTGAAGTTAAGCTTGAGAACGTGTTTGTAATAATTCATTCAGGCTGAAGACAGTGTTGTGCCAGTTCACAGGCCCCAGAGAGAGGGAGGTTCTGAGAGTTTGAACACAGATGAGTTTCAGGTGCCGGCTTTACTTGCCAGAACAAAACAGGAGGAGAGAAACATCACCCCATATTTGATCAAGGTGAACATATCAGACACCAGTGTCCTCATCTAGCTTTATACTTCTGTTTTACTTCTGTTGCTTTAACAACAGCATCAGTTTCATATGATGCAATGATAATCAAGAAAGAGGAAACTGCCATAGGGAGGGACCCCACTGACATTTGAACGTTTTCAGCTTTTACCACTGCACCTCCACTGAACACCTTCTGAAACCAGAAATGATTTTTATAGCATTTTTGGTCACAGTTTGACTTTCTGTATGATGAGCTATCTCGAGGCTGCCAGATGACACATCACAGTGTCAGTCTCATGGGTATAACATGAGACACACAGGTATGAAGCTCCCTGGTTTCCTGCAGAAATTAGGTGGATTAATAGATGGTCAACATCTGACACGAGAGGCCAGAGTTTCAGTTCCTGACAATAAAAATGGACACACACACAGAGCACACAGTGGAAATCATGTCACAATGACAACAGTACAGGCCAGTGTGAACAAAGATTGCACCATGGAAATTGGTGTCGAGTGTATTAAGGTGAAGCATTTCTTTTCTGCCCACTATGTCTGAAAACCTTCACATAGTGACTTAAGCTACATGCCACAATCATCCTAAACCTTAATCAAGTGTTTTCAGTGACTTAACTCTCCTCAGGGCAACAGGCCAATGCCAACATGTGACTTTTTAATTTACCAAAAAACTACAGATTTTTTTACTTTTGTTATTAAGACTTATTTTCTTTATATTTTTCACTTTTGTGCACATGTACCCGAAACAATTACACAGGCATGTTCTGATATTAAGCTGTTCAGGGAAATTAAGAGAATAGAAACCAAATAAATCCCTATCCTTTCACTAGAAAACTAATTCGGTCCAGGATATGTTCATCCTAATTTAACACAAGATCATAGAGGCAGGGGGAAATGTTGTCTTTGTAACAACATAAGGCAAACTTCACTGTGAAAAAGGATTCTGCAAGCTGCTTGTTAACCACTTTGTCTCCTTATTTCCATTTCATGTTAAAACATACAAGATGCACCATTCTGCGTAGGCTTGGAGGTTCATCGTGAGGGCTGAAGCAAAAACAGCTGGGGTACACTGTGAAAAGCTCACCAATATATAGAGACAAACAACCCTTTACACTCACATTCACAACTACAAATAATTAAACTAACTACAATATGCATGTTTTTGGACTGCGGGAGGATATCGGAGTACCCAGAGAAAACTCACACAGCTTTAGTGTTAAAAATTCATCCATCATCCAGCAGTTGTGCTACCTCGGCAAATCATCCTGGAAGCTGAAGGCAGATTAATGAAACAGATGTTGGTCTTTAGATCCACTTTCTCTAAGACAGACTATATCCAAAAAACAAAGCAGTATTTGTTAAAGGCAGAGATTCAATTGACTTTTAAAGTGCTGTGTCTGCACAAACAACAATGGTCAGGAGAGTAGAAATACTGCTTGGTGGGACATTTATAATCAGAGTAAGCAGCTTCAACTTTTCGAAAAAAAACCATCATCACATCTCCTGCGCTGCACAATAGCAACAATGAACAGAGAGGGTCAAGGATTGCAAAACTTGGACAATACAGGTATTCACAATGGAGAATTAGGGCTATGTTGAAAAAAATATGAGAGATTATGAGAATAAAGTGGTTTTACGGGAAAGTAAAAACGCTTCTGTACCTCTGGATCCAAAATTATAAAACAATCTGGTTGTGAAACCCCAACCAAACATGTCCTCCTCCACAAGAGGCTCTTTCCTTCAAGTCCTTCGTGTCATTCTTTCTCCAAAAAATTTCCATTTCATACATAATCTTTTTAAATTCCAAATACTTGTGTGATATTGTGGTGCTCATAAAATTGTGACTTTATTCTTGTAATATTACGATTTTATTCTTGTATCCTAGGATTCTTTTCTAGGTAAATATTGACTATATTGTAGTGATTTAAGCCTATTTCAGCAGCATTCCAATGCTCACTAACCTCATTTATTTTATTTTGCAACGCATTTTTTAATTTTGATTTGACGAGTGCAGGGTTCTAATTTTAGACCCTGCATGTACAGATAACTTGTCATTTCAAATTTTGAAACACTCTGTTCGCATTGCTGCTGGTGTTTATTTTCATCTGTCCGTTTCTTTCGTGTTTTAAAATCTTCAACTTGGAAACCTTTGTCTTTTCTATTTCAGGTGGTAAATGTGAGTCCTGAAGAGGCAGGGACACATTTGTGCACAAGTTCAAAAGGCATAACGATGGGAGAGGAGAGGAAGAAAGAAAGAAAAAGTCCATTCTCAGTGTGTGACCTGCAGATTACAGAGCCTGAAGACCAAGTCACTCAGTGTGCCAAAGATGCCTCAGCACCTTCCAGTCAAACTAAGGGGCGGATGAAAGCTTTTGAGACTCATATATAAAGCATGGACATCCTCCTCCTCTCAGTGAACATCAATCTGCTAAGACAAATTCAATATGTGAGTCCATTTCACAACTAAAGGGTTGATGACAATTAACAATTTCAATTGCACTTTATGGAAATAATTGAATGAGTGCATCACCATATCTACAGCTGTTGACAGCTGTTCAAAGCAGGATTCTATAAACCTTTGAAAGATTTTGAAAAAACATGCAATTCACTGTTTGCTAATTCCCAATTCACTGTAGGCTAATTCATGCTCAATGTTAGATATGTATATGGAAACAAATGGAGCCTTCTGTCAATACTTCATGTCATTTAGTTCATTTCGTCAATATGTGCATGTCCTTTGAAAACGTACGGGCTTGGATGAGACAAGACAAAACAGAGCAGTACCACCATAAATCATGGGGGCGGGGGGCAGTGCAGTCAATAGTTCAATCAAAACAACCATGAGGAAAAAATTTCAACAACTGTGGAACTTTTTGAGGAGATACCTTAGTGTTTATATGATGTTATTTTGCCGAGGCAGTTGGGAAAAACACGACCATAAATGCTCCACTCTGCACTGCCCCCCAGAGGGTGTATAACTTACCAACCATGCCAACATAAAGGATGCATGGAAGTAGGTGGGCATTGTTACATCGTTCACAACGGACTTTGGCAGCATCAATGAGCTTTAAACCTGTCAAGCTTCCTGTTCTCCCTCACATGTGCAGTTCACTGTGACTACTGGAAAAAGTTATTTGACAGACTCAAAATTTTACCGGTGTGTAGCTGAGATAAAAAATGAAGATGCCTGTGGTCCAAAGGTCCGAACCCATGACAACCGACCACTAATAATGCTGTAATGACTATGATGTTAACATGTTGACAAGTTTCGTGACACATGGAATCTGACCTCAACCTGCTCTCTAGATGGTTTTGGTTACAGACACTGTCAGACCCAGTCCCTAACTAAAGGTGTGTGTATGTGTATGTGTGTGTATGTGTATGCGTCTGATGTGTAGTTCTCAGAGAATTTGCTGGCAGGTTAAAGTTACTTGTTCCAGGTTCAATGTGTAAGATTTAGGTGAAAGGCATCTATTTGCAGAAATATTGAATATAAAATATAGTGATGTGAAGTGTGTAATCACCTCAATTGTACAAATTGTGGTTTTCTTTACCCCAGAAATGGCTTTTTATATT